TAAAAAATAAAAAAGTTCAGCCTGCTTTGGGTGCCCTTCTAACTTAACCCCAACGAGCAAATTGTACGTGAGAGAACTCTTTTTAGATAACGTTTATACAATGTTTTAAACTTGCTATCCCAGTGGTAGCAGCTTCACATTCCATGGTTTTCCTGTTGGGAATGTTCAGCCTGCTATGAACTTGTCTGAAACTCGTCCTGGTCGGCTGGGGGATATTTTTGTGGACACTGTGCACTACATTTGACTGTTGTGTTCCATTTGCTTGTGAATCCCTGAGGAGGAGCCTGGCAGCTCCAGGCTCTGTTAGATCAAAGCTTTTGAAAGCTGGAACTCACAAAAATCCAGTGTTTCAGGATGGGTCTTGCCAACAGCATTTGGAACACGCCACAGAATGGTAGATTTAAGGTATTTTGCAAAGTCTGTGGCTCCACTTTAGCCATCAGAGCGATGCACTTGTGGGTGGGAGGGTGGATGTGACAGAGCTACAGGCGATGTGTTTCCAGTAATTAATTAATCACTTTTAAGGGTCTTTCTCCTACAGCAGTTGAGGAATAACGTTGTGTTAGAGTTTGAGGCATTGTGTTGTATTTCAGATGTGGAAAACCTAAATTATGACCTAGTATCACTTAATCCTCTTCACAGTAGATTGATGGTGCAATCTGAAATTAATCTTTTCAAAACGTACTCTTCGTTTTTGTACTCTATTTATTTTGATTAAAAGTCCTGGAAAGAAAAAAAATGTATGTTTGAATGTATTGTTCTACTTGTAGCAGAACTTTAAGTTAATCATTTATTATATCATAGAAATCTCTCCCTCCAGTGTCAGAGTTTTATACAGATATTAGTCTCTAGTTTGCAGAAGAGTTTACAATCTGTCTTTATTTTCCTCATAGTCTCCCTTTAGCAGATAAACTGCCTGCAGCAAATCTCTGTTGCCAAAGGGTTCTTTCTTAACTCCTTAGAACCAACTTGTAGAAGTTTATTTGGCAATAATAGTCCTGAAGTTAGGATTGCAGAGTAAGTACTAACAAGTCACCGCTGCTAAAAAATGAAATCCAATCCTTTTGTAATTGCCACAAAAAGCTCATATTTCCAGAAAATATCCAGGATTTATACTGCAATATGGATTTTCCATCAGCTGTTGTCCATTCCAGAAGGATGTACCCTCGTGGCATTAATGTATTTTAGGTATCTTCAGTTTTCTTGTATTGTCATTTTTGAGGTATCTCAAACGTATGTTAAAGCTGCCATGCATTGTATTACTAAATTGTAACTATCAAATAGATAATATATTTAATACAGCCAATAAATAATACAAATGTATTCAAATTTGACTCCGAGCTCCTGTGGTTTTGTGGGATTTATTCTCACTTGTGTCAAGTGTAATTTAAGGGAAGGGAACATGCTCAGTGTCATTAAGAGCTGAATTCACTTGGGACCCTTGGAATATCACTTCCATTTCTCCTCATGCTGCAGGAAGGACCTGCAGCTCCCAGGTGAGGTAGAACAGTTCTTTGATACTGGAAATTGAATCTTTGGGGCTGATTACCAATTTTCCATCATTTTGTGTTGACTTAAGGCCTTTCCCCCTTGAGCTCTTGCCCAGCATTTGCTGCTGAGTGTGGAATTTCTCCTGCCAGTGCCTTAATGATGTGATGAAGGTAAGATGGGCAAGGCTTTATTTGACCATCATTCCCAAAGAGACAGCTGGACACAGCCTGGACAAACTTTCCACTTCAGGGATGAGGCACTGGAAAATGCTGGGGTGGAGGAGGCCAGGGGAGTTGGGAATCCCAAGGGAAGGCTTTGGGAAGCTGGAAGCACAGGGAAGGGAGCAGGCACACCCAGCAGCAGGATGTCCCCTGCCACAGTCCTCAGAATTCCTCCAGAACCTGGGAATGGGGCTCTAGCAGAAGTGAGAGAGGTATCAGCTACAAAACAAACTTCCCCCTCCTTGGAGCTCAGCTCTCTGCAGCTCTTCTACTCCCAAGGGCTGCTCAAAAGTCAATTTTGTGGAGCCAAATAGTGTGGGATTTGTGCTGGAAAGGTCAGAGCTGAGCACAGGCACTGCATTGTCCAGCAAATCCCAGCTCTGACGTTAGGGAGATTCCGGCTGCCCTTTCCAAGAGGCAGAAGCTCTGGCTGGGGTTGTTCTTGCAGATTTGGACACCTCCCAGCAAGAAAAGCTGTCCTTGTGCCAGGGCTCTGCATGGCTGCACCCTGCACACCTCAACAAATCTGCCTGGGAAGAACTTCCCAGTGAAATTCCATAGAATCATTGAATGGGTTGGGTTGGGAGGGACCTTAAAGCTCATCTTATTCCACTCCCTGCTAGACAGGGACACCTGCCCCTATCCCAGCTTGCTCCAAGCCCCATCCATCCTGGCCTTGAACACTTGCAGGGATTTAAGATTTATGGGATTTAAATCCTGCACCCTGAGCAGAGCCACGTGCCCAGGCTGTGCTCCTGATTTCTCCAACAGATGATTCCCAGCTGGCCGGCAGCTGCCTGGGATGAAGGACGGAGGAGTCGGCGCCGGGCCAGGACACACCATGACCCCATTTCCTGTTTTCTGAGACTCAAAACAACCCCAGTGTCTGAGCAGAGGGGAAGGGAGGCTGCTCTTCCATTGGGCCAGCGTGTGGTGCCCGTGGAATGTGTCCTCCTGCATTTATCCTGGAGAAAAGGAGGCTCAGGGGGAACTTCTGGTTCTGCACAACTCCCTGATAGGAGGGGACAGCTGGGGGGGATTGGGCTCTGCTTCCATGGAACAGGAACAGGAGGAGAGGAAACAGCCTCAAGCTGTGCCAGGGGAGGGTTAGATTGGACATCAGCGGGAGTTTCTTCATGGAGAAGGTTGTTAAACATCAGAATTGCCCGGGGAGGTGCTGGAGCCCCCATCCCTGGAGGTGGCACTCAGTGCTCTGGGCTGGGGACAAGGTGGGGATCCAGCTTGGACTCCTTGGCTTTGGAGGGCTTTTCCAACCTCAGTGATCCTGTGACTCCCAGCACAGCTGTGCCCCACAGGACTGTCCATGGGGAGAAGCATCCATGGCCAGGAAGGCGTTTGTGGCCCTGGGGACAGGTGGCTGCCCTGTGGGAACTGGCTCTCCCTCTCTTCTGCTGCTTTCCTCACAGAAATCCTACAAGTAACTCCTGGTTGTGCTTCCCAGCGTGCAAAATCACCTGTGGGCAGGTGGAGAAGGTGGCACAGAGGGGACAGAAGAGTCAGAGGGCGGCACAGAGGGTTTAGGGATAAATGCCAAGCCCCACGAAGTGCAAACCATCATTTTCTTTCCTGCCTCAGGAATAAATGGTGTGACAGCTCCATGTGCTGAATTCCAGCCTGATCCCAGCCTGTGGAAGAGCTCCTCTCCCCCTCTTTCCTAAAACAAGGGGAAAGAAAAGTGGATTTTTTTGCTGTTGTTTAAGGTCAGTGTCTGGAATTCCTCCTCCCCCCCTCCTCCCAGGATGTTTTTGTGTAACACACTCTGACTCACGGAAGTCAAATGACTTGGCCTCAGTGCTGCCTCAGCACACAAATTCTGGCACGGGAATGCTGAGCCTGCCCCTTGTGCTGGGTCAGGCTTTTCCAGCTCCTCCAGGCTCTGCCAGAACCTTGGGGCTGTTCCTGTTCCCCCAGGCTGACCCCAGTACCCCCAAACCCAAGGCAGGGCTGGGATGTGCTGGGATGTGTTTCCATCCGGCTTGGCTGATGCAGGTTCTGGGCACCTTCCTGGCTGGGGATGGGCACCTGAGCTGCTGCTGGAATGGATCAGAGTGTTACAAATATAAATATAAATATTATGGTATTGGCTTTTTGCAAATATTAAAGTGAATACTATATGTGTAGTGTTAAAATAGTTTTTAAGATATAATTTTCTTTAAGAGTAACATAAGCTGATAAAGTGTGTTTATAGTAAGTAAACTTCCTACTTAGTTGAATAACACCCAGTGAAAACATCTGCTACTGATATACCATTTAACATCTATAAAAATTAAAAACCACAACCCAAATTAAGACTGATAAAAAAAATAAATTAAAACCACAGCCTAAAAAACATGCATACTCTAAAAAAGCAGACTCAAGGAGTAGCCATGTAAAACAATTCCTAGAATATAAAAAAGAGTTTGTAAAAAAGTTTGAAAATTTATAGTAAGTCTATAAATATGCAACAAGCTGATAAATTTAAAGAGTGTCTCCAAAACAGGTGTGCTCTTAACTAAATGCCAAGCACCCAGCCATTATAACCTTTTGCTTTATTGTTTGTCTCTTTTTGTCTTTTATTAAACCTTTTAAAATCTACCAGAAAAGTGAACCTCGTTTTCACAAGAGGGAGCAGCTCTTGGTGTCTCCATCTCTGAGGAGCTGGGATCCTCTTCCTCCAGACCTGGCTGCAGTGGGACCATCCTGGATTATAACAGCACATTGCAACTGCTCCTGGAACATTGCTGCTGGTCTGCCTAACAAAATCACAACAAAACTTTATTTTTGGTTCTGTTTTGCAAGAGAAACTTCTGACAAAATTCACATGGAATGTGCTCTAAATGGCTTCCAAATCCAGTCAGCTGCCATGAAAACCAGCTGTAAAAAGCTTTTAAATTTGCTTCCTGAGTGGAACCTGTTATTTTCAGAACACTGTTATTTTTAGTTAATCCCAGGAATGCTGGCAATTTTAAAACTGGCTTCAGAGCTGTTCATGACATAACAAAACATCCCCTCCTGCATCACCACAGGCCAGATGGGGGCACTGGGCTGTCTGCGGCAGGGGGAGCGGGAGGACAATCACTTGAATCCAGCAGATTGGGTCTGTGCATCAGTTGGCCTACATGAATATTTATAGTAGACTCAATTATTGCTTTGCTAGGCCGCGTCTCCACGGCAACCCCGCTAGGCCGCGTCTCTATGGCAACCCCGCTAGGCCGCGTCTCCATGGCAACCCCGCTAGGCCGCGTCTCCATAGTAACGAGCCCTCCCGGCCGCCGTAGCCACGCCCCTTGTGTCACATGACCGGAAGCGATGGAGGCGACCAAGATGGCGTCCCCCAAGAGCGCGCCTAAAGACGCGCAGGTACCGCGGGGTCCGGGGGGATCCGGGCGGGACCGGGAGGTACCGGGGGGCTCGGGGGGCTGAGCGGTGCCTGTGTCCCCCCCGCAGGTGATGGCGCAGATCCTCAAGGACATGGGCATCACCGAGTACGAGCCGCGCGTCATCAACCAGATGCTGGAGTTCGCCTACAGTAAGCGGGGCCGGGCGGGAAGTGCGCGGGGAAATCCGGAGGGGAGCAGGGAAGTGTTGAGGGAAGCAGGGAGTGCTCTGTGAATCCATGTTTCCACGGGGGGCCCCCGTCAGACTCGGTGACCGTGGAGATCTTTTCCAGCTGTAATTCTGTGACTCTTTGAAAGTAATCACAGAATGACAGATCGAAAGTTGATTTGAGCAGGGACACTTTCCACTGTCTCAGATTGCTCCAAGCTGCGTCCATGATGGCCTTGGACACTTCCAGGGATCCAGGGGCAGCCACAGCTTCTCTGGGCACCTGTGCCAGGGCCTGGCAGGGAGGAATTCCTCCCCGTTATCTCATCCAAAGCTGCCCTCGGGCAGTTTGAGCAGTACCCAGAGGCTGCAGAGCCAGCTGGGTGAGATGAGGATGAGGATGGAGAGCATTTCATTTAACCCAGAGCCTGTTCATCCTAGGATACGTGACCACGATCCTGGAGGACGCCAAGATCTACTCGAGCCACGCCAAGAAGTCGAGCGTGGATGCGGACGACGTGCGCCTGGCGATCCAGTGCCGCACGGACCAGTCCTTCACATCGCCCCCGCCCCGCGACGTGAGTGCGGCCGGGGAGGGGCGGGGCGGGACACTGGGATGTCACCGGGACACTGGGATGTCACCGGGACACGAGGATGAGGGCAGGACAGAGAGATGTCACTGGGACACAGGGATGAGGGCAGGACACAAGAATGTCACCGGGACACGGGGATGTCACCGGGACACGGGGATGACACTGGAACACGGGGATGAGGGCAGAACACAGGGATGTGGCTGGGACACGGAGATGAGGGCAGGACACGGGGATGTCACCGGGAGATGGGGATGACACTGGGATACGGGGATGAAGGCAGGACACAGGGCTGAGGGCAGGACACAGGGATGTCACCAGGACACAGGGATGAGTGTAGGACACGGGGATGTCACCAGCCCGGGGTGTGGCCGTGTCTCTGCAGTTCCTGCTGGACATTGCCCGCCAGAAGAACCAGACGCCGCTGCCGCTGATCAAGCCGTACTCGGGCCCGCGGCTGCCGCCCGACAGGTACTGCCTGACTGCCCCCAACTACCGCCTGAAATCCCTGCAGAAGAAGGTAAGGATGGCTCAGGGATTGGGGATTCAGCCCTGGGGGGGTGGGAGCGCTGTTCCTTTGCAGTTTTCCACATCTGTGAAAGTTGTGGGTGAATATTGGCCCGTGCGTGTCAGCTGGGAGGTGTCCGGGCTGGATTTGTAAATATTGTTGGTTGATTTTAAATGGAAATTTTAAAATATGGGAATATTGTAGTGTTAAAGAAATACTGCAGAATCCCAGAATCACTGAGGCTGGAAAAGCTCTCCAGTGCCCAATCCCCATCAGAGCACAGAGTGCCATGTCCAGTCATTCCCTGGACACCTCCAGGGATGGGGACTCCAACACCTCCCTGGGCAGCCCCTTCCAGTGCCTGACCACCCTTTCCATGAAGAAATTCCTCCTGATGTCCAGGAGGAGCTGTCAGATTGTCAGAGGCACAAGTCAGGCTGTGGTGTAGATATTAAAGAGTATTTCTTACTTCCACTTCGGTTGTTTTTGCTTTAGAGGGAAAATATTTCCTTTGCTGAGAAGTCCCTCAGTGGGGAGGGACTTTCCTGTTTATTCCAGGCCATTCCTTAATTCCCTGGTTCTCTCCTCACAGGTCTCCTCCACAGCAGGCAGGATCACAGTCCCTCGCCTGAGCGTGGGTGCCGTGAGCAGCAGGCCCAGCACTCCCACTTTGGGTAGGAAACAGCTCCACAGGGGATTCCCACCTTTATTTTAGGAAGGAAAAATAAAGAGGAATAATTTAAAACACTTTTCATTCTCTCTGAGGGAATGTCAGGGACTGCCTGACCTTATATTGTTTGACAGCATCAGAAAGTTAATTTCATTAATTAATCTATAGTATTACAATAGCGTTTAAACATAAATGCATTACAGATGTTCTGTATTTGTGATAAATTCTTTATTAAGGGACTATTCAAGAACTTTACCTAAATTTAGGGTTGTTTTCCTCAGTGTCAGTATGATGCTGAATTAAATAGCACTGGGAAAGATCCATTTTTAAAAGGATCTTAAAATTTAGAGCTGTGCCCTAAAAATTAGTGAGTATTTATAGTCTGGAATTCTGTAGGGCTGGGGTAGATGTGGGAAAATGAGCAAATGTGCAGCTCTGCCTGGAAATCTGACTCCTTGTATCTGGTGTCCCTGTGCATTCCTGCTGTGTCTAACAACAGGTTCCACTTGGGAGGGAGTTTTGGGAGCGTTTATGGGTTTATTCTGATTTCTTTTGGTGGGGTTGTGTTGAATGCAGGTACCCCCTCAGCCCAGACGGTGTCGGTGTCAGCCAAGGTGGGAGCGCCGGTGTCGCTGGCGGGGCAGCGCTTCACTGTCCAGATTCCATCCTCACAGCCTGCTGGCAAGTCAGGTATTCCTGGGATTCCTGGGATGGAAACAGGGATAAACACACAGCCACAGGCTGCTTGGCTTGGCTTGGCAGGGAGAAGCTCATCCAGTCCCACCCCCTGCCATGGACAGACACAAACTGGCCTGGAACACTTCCAGGGCTGGGGCAGCCACAGCTGCTCTGGCCAAGCTGGTGTGGGAATTTCTTCCCTTCTCCCTCATTCCAGGAGCTTCTAGTGTTGATTCCCATTCCCAGCCAGCACATCACCATCCTGGGCAGCTCCCTCCCACCCTGGCTCCTGTTTCCCTCTTCCCCCTTGTATCCTCACCCCCCCAGCATTTCCCCATCCTCCCTTTTGGGATGCACATTCCAGCAGCACGCCGCTTTATGATCCTGGAAAAATGCAGGGTTTGCTCCAAACTTTCAGTGAACCCTTCCCATGATTCCCACAGCCACTCCCACCACTCCCACGGTGCAGAACGTCCTGATCAACCCATCCCTGATCGGCCCCAAGAACATCCTGATCACCACCAACATGGTCCCGCCCGGCGCCGCCGACCCCAACCCGCTCAAGAGGAAGCACGAGGACGACGACGACTACGACGCCTTGTGAGGGCCCACAGCCCTTCCCATGGGATTGATGGGAGCCCTTCCTATGGGATTTATAGGAGCCCTTCCCATGGGATTGATGGGAGCTATTCCTATGGGATTTATGGAGCTCTTCCTATGGGATTCATGGGAGCTATTCTTGTGGGATTTATAGGAGCCCTTCCCATGGGATTCATGGAGCCCTTCCCATGGGATTTATGGGAGCGATTCCTTTGGGATTTTTGGAGCCCTTCTTATGGGATTCATGGAGCTCTTCCTATGGGATTTATAGAAGTCCTTCCCATGAGATTCATAGAGCTCTTCTTGTGGGATTCATGGGCGCTCTTCCCATGGGATTTATGGAGCCCTTCCCATGGATTTCACACAGACTCCGGAGGGTGGGAATGGGAAAGGCCCTGTTTGGGCCTTGGGAGTGTGGAAATAAAGTGGAGAGTTTTTTTTAACTGTTCATATTTATGTATTTCTATATAAACAGAAATATATGATTCTCATGTTACATTTCGAAAATATTTTATATTTATGTGTACAAACAATCACATCTATAATGCACCCATCAGATACTCATTTCCATTTATAACAGCACCCCCTACAGAACAATCCCAGCAGGGTTTGCAGCTCCCCTGTCTGTTATTGGCACTTTATTGATTATTGCCTCAGGCACCATCCCGTGACTGCTCTGGGTATGGGGTGTGCTGCTAGAGCAGGACATTATTTCTGTCAGACAGGTGTCTGCTAAGGAAGGCAAGAGCCTCTCTTGAAATTGAAAAATGCAAATCCCTCCAACTTAAAATAATTTTGAAATTAAGGAGCTCTCAGGCAAAGATATGGGAATAGGAATAACAGTTTATACTAGGAAAATTAAAAAAAAATACAGTATTACAAAACAACAAAACACTGACAGAGTCAGAATACAACGTGACACCCCATCAGTCAGGGTGTTGGTAACAGTCCCATTAAATGGTGTCTGTATCCTCCTGCAGTGACAGTGCTCCTGGAGAAGGGTGCAGTTTTCCTCCAAAGGTCCAGTGATGATGTAGAAGGGTCTGGTTTTCCTCTGGAATCCAGTGGGAAAAGGCTGCCTTGGTGTTCCAAATCTGTTTTTATCTAGGTAGGAAATGTTTGGCTCCTCCCCCTGGGATGATGGAATTTTATCAGTCATGCAGCCAGCTCTGTTCTGCCCTTGGTGCTCCCTCTGTCCCTGTCCTGCTCCTCGGGGATGCTCCCTCATCCCACAGGACAAGCTCCCCTCACTCCCCTCAGCCCCTGGCACTGTCCCCCAGCAGATTTGATGTTTTTGTGCTGTGTCTGTTCTTCAGCACCAAACCCCTGACTCAGGACTGACCCTAAAGGATGAGCTGTGGCTGGGACAATCTTGTGTTAGGGCATAAGCCCTCAGAAGTTCCAACCTCATTTAAATCACTTGGAAATTATTTTACAGCTCTCAGGGTAAGGGGGGATTTTGGGAAGGAATTCTTCCCTGTGAGGGTGACAAGGCCGTGGCACAGAGTGCCCAGAGAAGCTGTGGCTGCCCCAGTCCTGGGAGTGACCAAGGCCAGGCTGGACAGGGCTTGGAGCAGGCTGGGAGGGTGGAAATGGATGATCCTTAAGGTCCCTTCCCCTCCCGGGATTTCCTAAACGTAGCAGAAACCTCATCCAACAAGTAAATAAATAAAGAGGATTCCTCAGGGAAACTCAAATCCCACTTCCCTAGGTCACCACCATTGGCAGTAGAGGAAAAATAAATTTAATAAAAATTAGATGTATCACCTTTTCTGCCTGCTGAGACTCCTAACTTCGGGCTGAGGGCAAGGAAAAGCAGGCAGGATGTTGTTTGGGGTGTCTGGACAGAAAGACCTGAGCAGGTACCAGTGGCAGCAACTCCTGGGCTGGTTTTACGGCCAAGTTTAGCCTCCCCTGAGAGCTCTGCTCTTAGAGGATGTGCACAATAATTCCAACTCCAAGCCAGGATCCTTCAGTAATTCCTTTATTAAAACTACAAACCAGAGTTAAAATTCCTACATTATTCACATACGTCAAGTTTCAGATTCATTGAATAAAGGACAGTCCAGTGGCCAAAGGGGCCAGAAAGCCTGACCAGTTCAGGCTGGTTTAAGACTTCAGCCAGGGCCTTCTCACTCCATGGATCTCCCAGGGCAGCTGGAAAAGTTCCTTCAGGCTCCGTGGGAAGAGGCAGGAGCAGAGCTCCAGTGCAGAGTTCTCTCAAGATTACAGGTGAAACCGTACCCAGTGGTCCCAGCTCAGCAGGAGGGAGGGAACTGGGAACACCCAACTGGAAAATCACCTCCATTCACTCCCAAGAATTCCAGAGGAAAGATTTTTACCCTCCCCCTGCCCCAACACACAAATATTTACAGAGACACAACCAGCAAGAAGCAGAGTTTGACTCCCTTGCTGAGGGCAGGAGCTGCTGCTCTAGCAGGAGAATCCAACTCCCTCAAAAGTCATCAGGAATGTGGCCTAAAGGGATGGGAAAGCTCCAGGTCAGTTAAACTCCTCCTTGATGGGGGTGCAGCCTGAGAAGAAGCTGATGTTGCTGCTCAGCATCCTCTTCTTCTTCTTCCCAAAGGGGTTCTGGTTCTCTCTGCACTCCTCGTCCCTCCCCAGCAGGGAGGCAGCAGAGCTGGGAATCTTCAGGAGCACCTCCTGGTCTGTGATGTCCTGCAGGACCTGTGGGAAGGCAAGGGACAAGCTTTGGAGTTAGTCACTGCTGGAGAGAGCCAGGACACCAAGTGCCAGGCCAACCTCAAGAGCTGCTTTTTTTACTGATCAGGAGAAAGACAAAAGTTTTTGGCAAAATGCCAAGATGCAGCAGGAAGAGACAGCAGTTGGAATAGTGGGTTCCCATGGGATAAGGGAATTCGTTTAGCTGAGGAGAAATGCCATGTGCCAGGTAAGAGAAGAGCTGAAGGTCACTTAGAACATGGACAGACGTGATTTTACCCTGCAAACTCCTCACCTCCCCCCTTTCCTTGCTGAAGGTGCTGCAGGAAAACATGGCAAGCCTGTGGCACACTCTCAACTTCCACACGAGCTGCCTGGAGCTGTGCAGAGTTTTCCAGCAGCAGCTTCTCCTCAGGGGTGATTTCCCCTCCAAGATCCCTCATTGAGCAGCTCTGCTCCCCCCGGGAATACCTTTGTGGTTGGAGTGACACACACAGGCTGGAAGAAGCTCTCCTCTGCTTTCACCTCCATGGGGTCCTCCAGCTTCAAGGACCCTTCTGAGTCCCTTTTGTGCTCCTCACATGTTGTGGTTTCCTGAGGGGCAGCAGAGGGTGAAGCTCTTGCAGAACATCCATCCCTTCCCTTCCCACCACATCCCCCTGCTCTCCAGCTGGGAAGTTTTCCACAGTACAGGATGCTGCAAGCTCAGGCTAGGCCTCCATAAAATAGGCAATAATTAGAGCACTGTGGGATGTCCCTGCTCCACATCTGAGATCCAAGAGCAAAATTCCAACTAGGAACATCTTCCTCAATGAACATCAGTTTCTCATGGACCTTCCCGTTGCTACAACCCCCTCCCCAAACCATTCCTTCCATCCTTAAAAAGAAATCTGGGCATGAGTCAAGATTTTGTGTTGTCTGAAGCCAAAAACACAACTTTAATTTAGTGAGTCCAAAAGGAAAATTGAAATTATTTGTCCTCAGATTTGTTGGGTGAGAAGTGGGAACACGAAAATCTCTGCTGTGAATCTCCAAATGTCTGTGCTGAAAGGCAGAGTCTGGTCCTGCAGTGGAAAATTGTCCTCAGTTACCAGAGAAGCACCAATTAGTGACATTCACAGAGTTTCAGCAAAGTGCACGTGCTCTGCCTGGACAAACTATGCTTGTGTGGGAATTATCCCTTCATCCAGCCTTGCTCCTGCCCAAATCCAGGCCCTGCAGCCCCTGTGGTCCCCCAGAGCCAGCAGCACTCACCAGGCCCCGCTCCCTGTTCCTGCACGTGGCCGGGGTGCAGCTGCAGCCATCGGTGCATCCCAACTTCTGCTTCCTGCAGCCACACTGCCTGTTCCCACAGCGGCCCTTGCACGAGCACTGTGGAGGGAAGGGGGATCCAATGGACCCTGGAATGCTCCAGGTCCTGCCAGCTGTGGCATCTCAAGGACAAGGACAGCCCCAAGCTGCCCCTTGTTGCATTTTCCTGCCAGTCCTACATCCCAGAATAATTTTCTTCCTAATATCCAGAATAAAATCCTTCCACCTAGAGATCTATCTTCAGGATCTATAGGATAAGTACCTGCAGTCACTCGGTGCCTGGGTTGAGGTTATGCCAAGGGATCCCAGTTTCTGTGCCTCATTTCCACAAAAAGGAGTCCCCACCCCAAAGCCTCAGGAATTTTCTGAGCCCCAGGCTGAAACTCCAGACTGACACAGACAGATGGAAGCTGAGGTTCTGTGAGGACTGGAGGCTGCAGATTCCCAAAAGTAAAAGGGATCCACAACAAGCCATCTCTTTTATTTTTGGCATTTCTTTTCCCCTAAAATTGGCTCTCTGGATGGATCTGGCTGCTGTTGGGGCTGTTCCTGAAGCAGAGGCCAGCTCAGACAGGACAGAACATGGGAGAAGGTGACTTGGACAAGGAAAACCTGTCCAAAAACGTGTTGCTGACTGCAGACAACCTTTGCTGTGTCTGTGGGAAGATCCCAAATCTCCCCAGGCACCCAAATAACCCATTCCTGCCGCTCTGCCCCACACCTCAGAGCTCCACACCCAACCCTTGGACACAGCAAGTGATTCCCTAACAGACACTGGATCAAAGGCAGCTGGATCTTACCCCCATGAGGTTTTTCCTTGTTCCTCTGCCTGCTTTCCCTGGAAGCCAGTCAGAATCCTCCAGTTCCCCAGAGTCAGAGAGCAGCTCCTCCACATCCATCTCAGGGCTGGGTGCTCGGGGCTTGGCCGTGGTGTGCCGGCGAGTCTTGGGCTGTGACACAGGAGAACGAGGGGTTAGGCCACCAAAAATCACACAGATTATATTTGATTAATTATGTTTTAATAAGGCTTTGTTATGTTTTATTAAGGTTTTCAGAGTCTGTCACAGCCATGAAGGTTGTAGAGTAAGGGAGGGGAAAAAAAAAGATCTAATTATCAGGATTGAAAATTCAATCCATTTAAACTATTAATGACAAATCCTTGGAAGTCTGAGTTGTTGTCACATCACATGACAAAAAAACACCAAAAACAGCATGTCACACTCCTGTCCAAAAGAATTTTAAATAATTTCTTTCTCCCAGCACTAACATTTGGCTCTTTGCAAAGCAGTAAAGTTTGCCTTGCTCCATAATTTAATGACTGGGAATGCTACAGAAAAACAATCTGTATTGTGAAGGAGGATACAGAGTCAGAAATACAATGAGGAAACAGGCTTGGGGGTCTGTTTGCCTTTTTTTGATCAAAAAACTGATGCAAGGTATTTGAGCCTTCTGAAA